AGGATTTGCCGAGAGACAGGTCTATGCCTTTCTCTGAAGATGATTTTGAGCTCTCCAAATTTAAAGAGAAAAGGGTGGGATATTGAGAAGCACACAGTTTTTACTTAAACAAAATGGGGAAATGAAAAATGTGGGAAATCTGCATTTCACATAAAATAATACAGACAAAATGGGGTAGGAGAACAATCTGATTTGCATTTGTGTCTGGCAGGTGTGGGTAACTGCACCTGTAAAGATAAGCTATCAATTAGCGTTGACATGGTGTAGTTTCAACAACTCACCAGTAATTTCCTTTCACAAACCCAACAATTCCTGGTCAGCAATACATCACATAGTTTTACCAATTTTTCTGTCCAGAGCAAACTACTTGAATGTCTTCTAAAGATATCCAGTGTGTTTTCTTTCATATTTTTAATATCAGCATTTTATATTATCTCAGCACTATCCAACCACACTACACACAGCCCAAAGTCCCCAAATTGCTATACTGCAAATCTGAATAAATAACATTGTGTTTTTTGTTTTCTTTCCAACCTTTATTTCAGATTTACAGGGTGCATGGGCAGGTTTTCTTTAGGGATAAATTGCATGTTGCAGGAGTTTGGTACACAAATGATTTTGTCACTCAGATAGTGAGTATAAGACCTGATAGGTAACTTTTCTACCCTCACCCTCCTCTTACGCTTCACCCTCAAGAAGGCCCCCAGTACTTATTGTTCCCCTCCTTGTGTCTATGTGAATTCCATGTTTATCTCCCACTTATAAGTGAGAACATGTAGTAGTTGGTTTTCTGTTCTTGTGTTATCCTTGCTTAGGATAATGGCCTCCAGCTGTATCTATGCTGTTGCAAAGGACATTATATGATTCTGTTTTATGGCTGTATCGTATTCCGTGGTGTACATGTACTACATTTTCTTTGTGCAGTTCATTGTTGATCATCTAGGTTGATTCCATGTCTTCTCTACTGTGAATAGTGCTGCAATGAACACAGGAGTTCATGTGTCTTTTTTTGTAGAGTGATTTTTTTTTTCCTTTGATATGTACACAGTAGTGAGATTGCTGGGTCAAATGGTAGCTCTGTTGTAAGTTCTCGGAGAAATCTCCAAACTGCTTTTCACAGTGGCTGAACTAATTCACATTCCTATTAACAGTCTATAAGTGTCCCCTTTTCTTTGCAGCCTCGCCGACATCTATTATTTTTTGACTTTTTAATAACAGCCATTCTGACTGGTGTGCAATGGTATCTCATTGTGGTTTTGATTTGCATATCTCTGACAATTAGTGATACTGAACACCTTTTCATATGTTTGCTGGCTGCCTATATGTCTTCTAAAATGTGTACATGTCTTTAATTTTTGTTGTTGTTGTTGAATTTTTTAAGTTCCTTATAGATTGTGGATATTTGACCATTTTGGATTCATAGTTTGCTAATGTTCTCTTCTATTTTGGTAAAGTCAGTGTTTTGACATTTTTTCTGGCTTTTATTATAAGATACTACTAACTGATCTTGATCTCTATTTTTTGTATATATTTTCTATTTCCCTGTGACAATAATTGACTCTTAAAAAAAAAACAAAAACTTGCTTTCTTTTGGAATTTTTGACATAGCCATCCCACAATTTATACATGCTGTAAAATGCTTGGGTAATATAGTTCTTCACAAGCCCTTTTGGCTCAAATAACCTATTTGTTGCCATTTCTTTTTTTTTTCCCCCTAGCCTTTCCTGGAATTCTGGAGCCCCCTCAGATTGCGCTATAGATTTGTTACATAGTTGAGTTGTCATCCTTGGAATTACCTTCACCTCTTTCAGGTGTTGGGTATCCTCTTTTTCCAATACCTCATTAAATTTTTATTTATTTATTTATTTGTTTTGTTGAAATACATACTCAGAAGCTTTCTGAGGAAGGAATAATGAGAGCTACATTTATTTTTTTAACTTTTCATGTCTAAAATATATACCTTCTACCCTTATACTTGAGTACCAGTTTACTGGATTAGAAGTCTAGTTCAGGAACTATTTTACCTTGCAAGTAAGCTATTTTACCTTGTAAGGCATATTTTTTTCCTATTTTTTGTCTTCTAGTGTTGTTATTGTGATCTCAGATGTTCTTTTAATTCTCAAATTTCAGTAAATTTTTTCTGCTTTAGAAAATTTTAAAATAATATTTCATCTTAATTGTAGTAAAATTTAACAAAATGAAAATTGTTTGCTTCTGCTGTACTGTCTCTCCTCAAAACTTATAACCTTTTATTTTAGGAAAAAATATTTATAAGGTAATATCCTTCATATCAAAAAGTTTCATTTGTTCTTTTTGAAACCTCCCTCTGTTAGTGAAATAATGTATGTCTACCTCTATCCCTTAATATTCCTTTAGTAAAAATGTTTGCCTTGGTTTCTACACTTTGTGTTGCAAACTTCCCTTATGAATATGGAAACCTTTGTTCACTCATATTCACAAATGAGGCAGTGGAAAGCAATCTGTGCATGGATGGAGCTTGTCCACGGTGAGCTTGTATAGGATGAACATGTAGCTTTAAGATTTTTCACTGGAGAACCTCACATATCAGAATGTTTAGGTTTTAATTCCGGGATTCTCATTTACTTCATGGTAGATCATCCGGCCTGTTTCCTGTAGATTAGTAGACTGGATGTTTATATTCTGGAGCTTAGCAGTCAGTACCTGCAGTTTCATGGTTGAGAAAAGAGCCTTTTACTTTAAGTTTTCCTGTCTTAGGACTCACTTCTTTTCATCTCCCATACCACACACCTACTACCTTTGAGCCAGAGATTTCCTCCCAGAAGCTGGAGAAAAGATAAACTTAGTACTTATCAATAAAATATATAATAGAGGGTTAAAAGTGCCCTTTATATAGACATTTTTACAATATACTTGTTTAATGGCCTCCTGATCCACAGCCTCTGATAGCATCTGGCATCCCCACTCAGCTTCCTTAACATCAATAACCTCATCTGTGGGCAGAGGTATATTCTTCCAGGAACTTGCCAATTTATGGGTGATACAGAGCAAAGCAGCATTTTTAAAAACACGGACTGCCAGAAAACCAGGCACATTTGAATAAATAATAAAAGTATCAATATATTCAGCTAAAAGCAAACTAGATCAAGAGAATTTTTGGGTCAGAGTTAGAATACCAGGAGCCAGAAAGGATTATTACAGAAAGGGTTCTTAAGCGAATTCGGAAAGTGGGATATGCCTTGTTTTGGAAGAAAAAATTAACCCCTGATGAACAATGATTTTTTATTATCTACTAATATCATCTCATTTTAGTGAATGTGAATTGTATCCACCAAACTAAACATATAGACTTAGCAACATCTCATTTCTTTCTGAGATTAGCATGCCAATTTTGGTGATATAAGTCATATGAACAAAATTTTAGTTAGTTTCAGTACTAAGCAAAGAATATTTGAACAAGGTGTCACTGTTATCTAAATACATGTGAAATAAGAACACTAAAATCTTGAGTACTTTTAGGCATATGATTTCTTATTTACAAACAGCTAGAATTCAAATGATATTCATAGATCTGACTATACTCAGCTTCTGGTTATCCTGAATGATAGAAGGTAGCCATATTTTCAATAAATCAAATATATATTTATTTCTATTCATTTAATGTATTTATTAAAAATGTAAAACTTAAGAAAGTTTATGCATACTGACCAAGCTATCTTTATGTATGATAGCATAGCAAATAGAACAGCAACAACAACCTGGAAGAAGTAATAGAAATCATATTTGGTGGAGATTCCTGTGGCCAACTTGAATTTTTCTGGAAACTGTTACTATAATGGTAGATTTGTCAATGTTATTATCTCATAACAACACTGAGAAATGTTTACAAGCATCTCACATGATGAATTTTAGGCTCACTTCTGTAAATTATGTGCACATAATGCATTCCTGGTATAAAAATATAAGTACAAAACATGATGAAAGAAAAGATTATCAGATGTTGACACAAAATGAACTAAATCTCCTCCCATATAATACAGAAATCTAGGGCTAGGTAGTAAACATATTATTTAAAGTATTTAATGTATGTCACTCCAGATCCACAGCACCCTAGTTGGGAAACAGACATGTCTCTATGAAATGTAAAATATGTATTTGAGACAAAAAGAAATAGTATAAACTTCTTCAGCTGGTATGAAAAAGTGAAGGAAAGTTTATTATGAAGCTTTCAATACTTGTTAGACATTTTACTAGCTGCTTAAAATGTGCCATGTCATTTAGTATTCCAGAAACCTAGATTAGGTAGGTATTGACATTCCTATTTTAACTCTGGTTCATGGTGGGCAGGTCTACACAAACCTACCTTAAAGTGAAAAGAAGCTGAGAGAGAGGCCAAAGACAGAGGCTGACAAATCCCGTTTCTTAGAAAAAAGCATTTAACAGGGACTTAAGAATAGAAGGCCTGGCTGTGTCTTGGGTGGTGGCAAGACAAGATGGTGGACTCCTGCCCCATCACCCCCAGGCACAGGGCTTATGTACCATAAGGAAGGGGTGCCACAGAAGGGATGTATAGGACAACTGAAGCACAATAACATCAAGGTTGTTTGACTTAATTGCAAGATTTATTGCACCTAAATGGACTAAGTCCCAGCTCTTCCACAAGGAACAATAGATAATGGAAAATCTTAGAGGACTTCTTGGAACTAGAGTTAATCAGAAGCCAACATGGCTAATTAATATCCAAGATGGAGTTTCTTTTGCTTCCACAACTCAAACAAGCCAAACTGTGAAGAGGTAACAAGAAGTTCCAAAAGCAAATATGTCATCTGAGAAGTTAGGTATTAGTAGTTAATAGTTGGTTAGATCATTTAAAATAATTCATAGACCTTTCTGTTCATGACATCAAAACAGAGTAGCAAGACAACAAAACCCAAAATTTGCCAATTGTTTATGATGTGCTTTCCTTGCAGCTTCAATGTTCTTATTGCAGTTTTTAACTTTTTTCTATGTGTTGATTGTAGCCCGAGTACAAAACTGGTGTACAAATATCACAAAGAGTGGGAAAAAGAATGAATGCTGCCTGCTTACGTCTCAAGGTGAGTACTAGTATTGCTACATCAGTTTTGTGTGTTCTATGCAAAGTACCATGTGTAAAACGGCACTGAATGCATGCATTTGAAAATTATCAGTAACTTTCAAATTTACGTAGGATGTAAATGTAATGAAAAACGTAACTTCAACTTCACAGTGACCGGTTTTCATTGTTAAACATATGTTTTCAGAAGTCTGGATGAGTTACTATTAGATTTTTGAAAGAAAGTTGACCAGTTTGAGATAGCTATACTTAAGTTCTAGATTTTATTATTGTTCTCATTCCTTCTGATGAAGAATTAATTTAATTCTATAAGAATAATATAATTGTTTATAATTGAATAAGTATTCTAAACATGTGCTTGTTCGTTTTCTCACTGCATCCTACCATTATTTTCAGTTTAAAGTAGCCAAGATGAAACATAGTTCATTTTCTTCCAAGACAATTTCCTACACATATTCCTCCTCAGAAATAAAAAAAAAAAATAGTAGTCCCAAATCTAAATGGAAAATTAAACATATCAAAGCAATTTTTTGGTTTAGTTATTTTTTCTCTGATGGGTTATTCTTTGTTTTCACCTTATTATTCTCCCCAACTTTACTTTGTATTTTCTGCCTTTTTGGACTCTAATATAATTTCTTGTTTGTTGTCTATTTCATTACTATACATTAAAATAATAATTTTCAAACTTAGAAATACATTATTTTTATGAAACATTGCATTAGAGTGTTTATGAACATTATCAATTTATATTTTACATTTGCAAATTACTTTTTACAATGCATTAATATTTAAGATGGATATATTCTTTTATTAGACTCTTTTCCTCTAAGTTTATTACCAATTTAGTGGTGCATTAACATACTATGCTTTGATCCTACTGCTTTGGCGTTATTACTATGGCTTTCGACGATGTATCACTTCTCAATATTAATTTCCACATTGAAAACACATTTTAATATTTTCTTTGTATCACTGGGAATTCTCAGCATAAAAAGAATTCTATGATTATTTTAGGGTGATAATATTAAATCAATCTAAAATTTAATGAGACAACAAACCAGGCTTCCATAATACTCACCATGAAATTAATGTCCCTGGAAACGGATATTTTGTCAACATATTTAACTTTAAAACTATTGCAAGTAAAGCTTTTAAAGGAGTCTTAAGCTTTTCTTTAAATATATAAAAATACACACATATATATATATAATATTTTGGATAATAAATATGTAGGAAAATTCTTGATATGAAGTTCTTGCTAGAAACCCTTGTTTCTATTATCAGTACACACACACACACACACACACACACACACATTTGTTGACTAGGAAATAACATTTACTTTGAGATGGAATTTGTGTGTATAGAAATTTTTCAGAAAATTCATTTGTTTAATATTTAAGTTTCATTAGTTCAAAGAAATAATACTTTAAAAATATTTATCTTTCTCTTAGCATTTTAATAAAGTATCTTCAGATTATATGTAAATTCTAATTGTAGCAATTATATCTTAGTGTTTAATAAGTATATGCCCACATATAGTATACTCACCTACATTATTTTAAAGTTTATATTTCTCAATATTTTTTCTCTGTAATCTCCATTTTATTTTAAATTGGTACTCAAAATGTATTTGTTATTGAGTGAATTCTTGAAGAAAAGCATTTATATCATACTACAGATGAATAGCTAACTTTCAACTAAACATTGAAAAACAAAATACCCTTAAAGTACAGGAGAATTCCATGCAAGCCATTCTCATAGTAATAAAAAAATGGCTAAGAATCACTCATCTTTTAATTACACTCGTTTATATCTTCTGGTTAATTGCTAGTGATCAAATAAAGGAAATAAATGAAAAATGAGTCACCAAAAAATTAAACATAAATAAGTTCTACATTTCTAAATATTTCTTGAAATCTTGATTTATCTTCATTCTTATCAGTCTTCAACAAAGTAAGTTTTTTTTTTATATTCTCTAAAGATTCTTGGTGCCATCATATTAAGATTCATCACACATTTCTGCAAAAAAAAAAAAAAAAATGCTCCCTACTTCTGTCTGAAAGGAAAGAAGAGACTTTGTCCTGTTAATTACAATGATAATTCTCTACTAGAATTTCCTGTTTGAGAAAAGAGTGAGATAACTACAAAATTTGCTTCTGCTCTTATTTTAATAAATATTTCTCATAAAGAAAGTTTTTTTTTTTAAAGTTTTGCTATTACAAAATTTTAACTTTTGATAAAAGAAAGGGAGTGGTTTCATAACATACTAAAGTTACAGACGCTGTACTTTGCTCTTTCTATATAAAGACAACAAATCCTAGCATGATCTTCAGAGAACTTGTATACTACTACTGTAATGGAGTAATTGACATGTGAGCATTTCAAATATAAAACTTGCTGAAATTCAAGAAATTATGTCGTGTCATTCAAAAACATTGAATCAATTACCATTGTTTGAGCTAAACAGAATTAAGCAACTTTACCAGTACCTGTGTTTCTTAAAATTTTAATAAGCCTAGCTACCAAAAATTTCTTTCTTAGATCTTGAATGCCTCAGAAATCTTCAGTTTTGTCTGTGTACTTCTTGCACTCTTAGCTCATGCCTCCCCTTATATTGTGATTTGTGTGTATAGATCCTATCTTCCCAATAAAGTATTACCTTTAAATGGTGGGTATACTTATCTTATGCATCTTAGCATCTCATTTCTCTAGAAAAAGAAATGCTATATGCAAAAGAGGTTTTCATGAAATTATTGGTCTTGGTCACTTACTTACAGGGTGGTAGAAGCCTGGTAGAAGGGGACAAGAGAGTACCTCAGGGAGCTGGCTGGCAAAAAGAGCAAGGAATTATCTGAAACAGGAATGTGAGGAACTAAATGTCACTTGTTCTCAGCTGTGGAGTATACTCACTATTCTAGGAAAGTTGTAAAATATCTCACAGGGAATCCCATTCCATCTACACAAAATAGAGCCAACATATGTATAAACTTTTTATCAACCCTTGCTGTATAGACAAAATAAGATTATATTTCTTTCCAAGTACAACTAGAACATGCTATAACTCTGTAAGGGAGCCTGTGCCCTCCTCATATCAAGAGTGATGGTCACACATAAACCCTCTTCTTATTGATGTTACACACCTGATTTTTGATCTCGCAATTGGAATAGCAGAAAGGATTGGAAGGTTTATGTTGTTCTGTAAACATTTCTAAGTCACTATGCTATTAGCAAGTGAATGAAACACCAATTTCTAGACAATTGCTATAGATTATATGAATTTTCAAAAATTTTAATTGGAGTAGGAGAGAATAAGTAGAAGGGCAATATGCATTTTTATCAATTTCTTTTTTCTACTTTTATAAATATATAGAGTATCAGAGCTCTCCAGAGAAACAGGACCAATATAATAGGATGTGGATATGTGTGTGTAAAAGATTATCTATCTATCTATCCATCCATCCATCCATCCATCTACCTATCGAACCATTCATCCATCAATCCATTTATCTATTGTCTTCTGTCATCTATCTATCTATATGTAAAGAGGTAGATTTGTTTTAAGGAATTGGCTCATACCGTGGTAGAGTCTGATTGGTATTGTAGCTGAAGTCCAATGGCAATTTAAAACAGACACTTCCACAGGTGAGTGTCACTATTTGTTCTGTTAAGACCTTTGACTGATTTGATAAGGACTGTCCGCATTATGGAGGATAATCTGCTTTACTCAAAGTGTACTGACCTAAATGTTAATCTCATCTAAAAGTATCTTTGCAGTAACATCTAGACTCATGTTTGACCAAATATCTGTATATAACTGTCTAGCCTAGTTGACACGTAAAACTTACCATCACAATTGATATTGTGTTACATTCTAAAGGACTATCTTACTTTTCCTCAAGCTGAGTTGTACAGTCATATTACTCTTCCTGTTGACCCCTTTACCAAGGAAAGTGGAGGTTGATACTGTACACTGTTTTCCTGGCTATGTTATGGCTGTTGATCAGTTCATGTCCATTTATATATGCTATACATTATGCAATAGAAGATTGAAGACCATTCCTCCTTGATTCATAAGGTGTTCAATAAAAATTAGGAAAATGAAAAATCAGAAGATTAATGAAGGTTAGGAATTGAAGCTAACCAATGAGATCAAGAGAAACATAATTAGATTTTATATAGAGGATGAAGATGATTAACTTCAATTTGACTAGTAGAAAGATGGTGTTGAGAATCTTTAGCATCAGGTGAGTTGGAGAGTGTAAAACTTTTAACAAGAAGAAGGGGAATACTTCTCATGTAACACAGTTTGAAAACATAAGACTCCTGAACACAGAGTCAATGTTCTATATTTCAGTCAGTCTCTTTTTAAAATTTAACACTATTTTTTTCTTTGTGCCTATTAACTGTGCACTGATTCAGAATATGGTAATTTTACCCATACAGTCACTTTGAAAGGTAATCTGTTGCTGCCAAATACTATGCCTTTTTATCAGTTCTAATTAGTGATTATTTATGCATACATATCCAGCTTTTCCTTCTACATACATACCAATTAAAATAATCCTCTGATGTTTTGAATATTATGTCTCACAACAGATATTTTGTGTCCTGACTTACCATTCATAAATAGATAAATTTCTCATTCTGCCTTTTTACATTAAATAAATTCATATACAGGTAAGTTATTTAAAGTTCAAGAGTTTGAATTAAATGTCTTTAATTTTGATAACAAAGTTACCTAGAAGAAGCTTTATAATATATTCTTCTGCAGAAGCTAATGTAGAAAAAATCTAGTAACATTGAATACAGAATCCATTAACTTTAAGATAGTGAGATGAAGGAAGTGCTATCACCCATATGCCTTGCCGGAGTCTGTAAGGCACATCATTCAGATTTCTGAAGCACATGGTTAGGTCATTACTTTCTGTCCAAAAGTCTGCACAAAATCATTATTTTGTATTATACTTAAATTGGTTAAACACATTTCTTAAAGTGAAACAAATTCAGAAGACACTTTGAGATACTTAAATATAGCTCCATCAGTGAAATTGTGTAGTAGATATACATCTGAGTTAAAAGTATATCAATAAATTATTAGGATTCCTTCTAAAGGAATGATTTTGACTGCTATATTTAGCAAAAATTGTATGTCCTTCGCCCACTTTTTAAAATAAGTTGTACGTGCGGCCAAAAATCATATGAAAAGAGGCTTAATACCACTAACCATTAGAGAAATGCAAATCAAAACCACAATGTGATACCATCTCACACCAGTCAGAATGACTATTAATAAAAAGTCAAAAAGTAAGAGATGACAGCAAGGTTGCAAGGAAAAGACAATGCTTATTTATGCTGCTGGCAGGAGTCTAAATTAGTTCAACCATTGTAGAAAGCAGTGGAGTGATTCCTCAAAGAGCTAAAAACAGAACTACCAATCCCGTTGCTAGGCATATGCAAAGGAATATAAATCGTTCTATCATAAAGATATATGCATGTGTATTTTCATCTCAGCACTATTCAAAATAGCAAAGACATGGAATCAACCTCAGTGCTCATCAATGGCAGACTTGAAAAAAGAAAATGTGGTTCTTTGCAGCAATATGGATGGAGTTGGAGGCCATTATCCTTAGCAAACTAATACAGCATCAGAAAACCAAATACCGCCTGTTTTCTTATAAGTGGGAGCTAATAATGAGAACACATGGACACAAAGAGGGGTCCAGCTGACACTGGGGCCTATCTGAGCTTGGAGGGTGAAAGGAGGGAAAAGAACAGAAAAATATAACTATTAGGTACGTGGCTTAGTGCCTGGGTGATGAAATAATCTGTAAACCAAACCCCTGCATGACAAGCTTATCTATATAACAAACATGCACATGCGTCCTTGAACCTAAAATAAAAGTTAAAACGTTTTTAAGAATATATTCTACCCTATTCACAATCTTCACTAAAATTTTAATTTGACCATCAAAGGCTTAAACTCCATTTATTTTGAAAAAGAAAGAAAATTTAAGAACTTATACCACACAATTCTATGTGCTAGGCATAGAGAGAAATATGAGGAAGTGTACAGTGACTCATTTCAGATTATGACTGAATAGCTGATGCATTAGCATCTTCTTGCTGTTGTAACAAATTATCACAAACTCAGTGTCATAGAACAGTTTAAGTTTATTATCTAAAAGTCAAATGTCTAAAATAGGTCTTCAGGGCTATGTTCCTTCTGGAGGATGAAGGGGAAGAATTTCTTGTCTCAATTTTATTGGCTTCTCAAGCTGCCCACATTTCTTGGCTTATGGCCCCCTCTACTCTGACCTTTACCTCTGTTGTTAGCTTTCCTTCTCTGATCTTGGGCATTGAATATTCCAAAATCTCTCACAAATTATATGCTACCTATATTCATATTTTACTTAACTATTCTCTAGTAGCCAACATAGTTACTATTTACTCATTTGACTTATTATCAGTGTCATAAAGAGTAATGATGTTGCTGCTATGAGTTCCTTCCATATAAGACTAGAAATCTAATATTTTATATTTCAGGTCAGCAGCAATTTTATTTTTTATAAAACAGTACTTATAGCAAGATTCATTGCAAAATGTTTTCTCTGAACTTATTTTTTAACACATTTTTTTCCTTTCTGTTCATAAAGAATATAGAAAAAAAGGAGAATATATTAATGTAAATTACTCTTTAAGAGAACTGGGTAATATTAAATATATTCTAAGATAAATTATTAGTACTATATTTCTGTAGTCATATCTTGAAATAAGAGGACTTGTAAACATTTAAAACGTATCAAAGAAAATTCAGTGCACTGCTTTCAGATAATCATAGAACTTTTATGAAACAATTTCAATTTCAAATAAAATGTTGCATGACATAATTAAAATGTTTATGGCGATTCTAAAATTTGCAACTCCTGAAACAAAATCTATTTTCTGAACACAGTATAATTCTTGGAAATTTCTGTCAATGAACTAATGTAATTAATGTGATTAGTTACTGACTCATTTTAATACTTATTAAGTTATGAAACACAATTGGTTTTAACTCATTTTGACTTTATCATGAGTTCTATTTCATTTTATATGGAGCACTCTTTTAGTTGAATCTATGTGGAAATACTAGAGCTATATTTACATATGACATTTTCCAAATTAAACCATGACAGAGTTAAACGAGTATACACTATCATATAATCTTTTGTGTCGTTTAACATCTTACATTTTACTGTTGACTGCATTTTCATGTACCTTCAGCAACAAAAATGAAATAATTCTTGATGCTTTTTATCCTTCCCTTCTCACTCACTGTGGAGATGCAATGCATTTGTAACATGCTGTGCAGTGTGAATTGTGCCTCTGAGCTGTGCTTGAATGAGGTCCTCCTGAATAAACTCTATCAAGCTTGACTTTCCTATCTTGTACATTATCTCAGTAAGAGGCTACCTAGCAGCATATTCTGTATTAAATATTTTTAATTTGTTAAGACACTGAATCATGAAAACAAATTTATTTTACAGTTAATGTGAAGAAAGAAAATGCAATCACCCACAACTAATACTAACTAAATCAAAGGTAAAGATATTTTGGTGGGAGCAGAAAAGTGTGTGGATAAATACCATAAATCTTGTAAAGATGAAAAAACAACTTTAGGAAGATATAAGAATAAGGACATATTTTCTGTTAAAAACAGTAATTTGAAGATGCAGAGTTAGAATTGATCTCAGAAGTTTCTCTGCCTTTCCTATCTCAGGCTCCTTATTCTGATATTCCACTGCTCATTTTAAATCCCAAGGTCCCAAGGAATTGCCATTAATCGACTCATGGATACGCTACCCAACTTTGATCTAATTGAGGATGT